TCCTTTATTTTTTAAATTTTTTTATGGTGAGATGCTTTGATTTCTTTTTCTTTTACATATCTTCATTGTGATTACAATTAGAATTAACTAAAATATTGTATAGTTATAACAGTCTACTTCAGCTAATCAACTTCAATTGCATATAAAAACTACATTATTAATTTCTCCATAGACTTTATATTATTAACATCAAAATTTACATCATTTTGCATTGTGTAATCATGAACATATTTTATATAATTGTTTTAAAAATTTTTGTCTTTAACTTTTATACTAGAATTGAAAAAGCAATTTCCACAGTACTGTTACAATGTTACATTATTCTGTACTTATTTATGTATTTACCTTTAGCAGCAAGTTTTATACTTCCACATGCATTGATGGTGCTTCTTAGCTTTGTTTTTTTTTTTTTTCACCTTGAAGAATTCTCTTTTTTAACATTTCTTGTAAGACTGATCTTGTAATAATAGACTTCTTCAGGTTTGTTTGGGTATGTCTCTTCAATTTTAAAGGACAGTTTTACCAAGTATTGTATTCTTGGTTGGCAGGTTTTACCTTTCTGCATTTTGAAATATTCCACTGCCTTTCAAAGTTTCTTCTGAAAAATCCAGTGACTGTCTTGGAGAAGTTCTCTTCTATGTGTCATGTCCCTTTTCATTGGCTGATCTCACAGTTCTCTTTGTGTCTGACTTTTCACAATTTGATTGTAATGTCTTTCACTGTGGAATTCTTTTGTTCCTCTTATTTGGATTTCCTAAATGTAGATAATCCTTTTTTTTTCAAATTTCAGAACTTTTTTTTCCATTTTTTTTGAGTAAGTTTTTGTCTTTGTCTTTTCTTTCTTGGACATTCATAATTGTATATATTGGTTTATTCAATGGTGTCCTATAAGCCCCAAGATTTTTCTTTATTCTTTTTCACTTTTTTTTTCCTATTATGCTATTGACTGGCTTATATCAAATGACCTGTCTTCAAATCGAGTGATTCTTCTGCTTGATCTAGTATGTTGTTTTGATGTAGATTGAATTTTTCTATTAAATTTTTTCATTTCAGTTACTGTTTTCTTTCAGGTCAAGAGTTCTTTTGGCTCATATGAATCTTTGCTAAAATTTCATTTTGTTCATGCATTTGTCTCCCAAGTTCATTTTGAACACTGCCAGGAAATTCATATGTTACGTGTCAGTAAAATTGGGGTCTTGAAGTTTATCTTGTTCCTTTTGGACAGGCATGTTTTCCTAATTGTTCATTTTCCTTGTCTCTTAGTGTCAGTACCTGCACATTAGAACAAACAACCATCTTTTCCAGTCTTCATGAACAAGATTTGTATACAACAAGACCCTCAGTAGAAAGCCCTGCCAGGGACCTTTCAAACTCTGTATATATGTCTTTGCTGGATTTATTTGCATAAACTGCAAGTTAGGAGATTTGCCTGTTTCTTTTTTCTTTTCATCTTTCTTTCTTTACTTCACAATCTTTTGCTGCTTCTATTTTCTTTCTGTGGTATCACTAGTTTTCTGATGCAGCAGCACACCAGGACTCCTTTGAGTTCTCGGAGGCACACAGACATCTAGATTATACCAGGTCTCATGTATTCTCTGAAAATGGTAAGACTGAAGCCAGTTCTGAATATTTGGCATGTGTTTCTTTCTCCTCTCTTCTTCCCAGAGATGAGACAGGCTCTGGGATTCTCAATGATTATTTTGTGCTAACCAGGAGAAGGGCTCTGGCAGATGACTGCATAGTAGTCCAACCTTTGCCTTTATTCTCAGTGGCCCGCATGCATCTAGAATATGCTGGGTCCTGTCAGTGCTCTTAGACAGGTGAGATAAAGTCAGTCCCTTATACAGCCTCTGAAAATTTTGGAACATTGCATACTTGATCCAGCTCTTTCCTTCCAAAGAGAAGCTAAGATTTTGTGATTTCTTTACCCACTTTATCATACAATGAAAACAGGTTATGATAATTACTTACATGATAGTCTTATCTGCCACCTTTTCCCCCAATGGCTAACAGGTATCTAAAATGTGCCTGGTCCAATCAGGGCTCCAGGAAAAACAAAGATATAAGCCAGTCTCTCTGGCAGCCCCTGAAAAAGTTGGAAACCTATACATACAGTCCAATCCTTTTTCTCTTCAGGAACTGGAATTTGGTAGTTTTTAACCTTCTTCTTTTTCTGCTTTACTGAAGTTGAGAGGCTGTAGCAGGTGCTTGCTTGCTCGTCCAAGCTGCCACCTTTGTTCTCAATGTCTCCTAGATTTCTACATGCCAGCTTCTAACTTGCTTCAAGATAGGCGAGAAGGAACCAGTCTGTTGGGCAGAAGCCTATCTCTGGAAAATTTAGAATGTTGGACACAAAATCCATCTCTTTCCCTCCCCATGAAGAACCTGGGATTTGGGGATTTCTGCAGTGCACTCTGTGCTGAGCCCTGGGGAGGTAACATAAGGAGTACTTGTTTGATAGATATCTTCTGTACTGCTCTTTTGTTCTCATCCAGGGTCCCTTCTTTTCAGGGTTCAGATTCAGGTAAGAAGTAAACCAGTCCCTTGGGCAACCCTCAGGAAAGTCAGAAAATTGGATTTGGATATACAGATCAGACCCTTCCTTCCTCCCTGGGAAGAAACTAAGTGCAGTAGGTTCTTAGCGCTCTTCTGGCGCTCGCTGGCCCTGGGAAAGGGATTATGTTGTGAGGGTTTTATGGATTTTGCTACCAGCTTCAATGTGGTTAGTTTCATGCTTCTCTCCTGAGAAATCTGGTTTTTGATTTTTCACAAGGGGAGTTTATCTCTGTGTCTTTGCATCTTTGTGTCTTGGGGAGGCAGGAAGGAAAGGCCAGAACTTCCCATACCATTTCTCTGAGTCACCTCCCAGTTTTTCTTTCTGCTTAACTTTTTTTGCTTTCCTTCTGCCTTCTCCCTGCAGATCTGCATTTCCTCCCAACACTGTCATATTACTGGGCTAGTTTACCTGCCTTATTGCATCCAGCACGATCAAATCCCAGGTAGATCTGTCACAGGCTCATATTCACACACATGTTTATTAATACTTACTAATCTGAATTTGGCAGTATTTACAAATATGTTTCTCTGCATCTTTTGACCCAGTAACACATTTTGGGAAATTTTCTTGAGTTACAAGATATAGTTCCATTTTATAATGGTTATGAAACTGCTTCATTATTTTCTTCTTTTTCCTATTGAGGGTAGTTATCTTATTTCTACTTTTTCCCACTACAAATATTTTCGCATGTTTTCAGATATTGAGGCTTTTATTTTGATGGGATAAAGTTTCTAGAGTAGATTTTCATAGCCAAAAGATTTCTCATAGTTTTAAGTTTGAATAAATGTCACATTGCTTTCCTTATACTGTAAGAACATAATTTACCCACAGAATGTGACAATGCTTACCAACATCATGTCCCAGCCAGTCATGTGTGTTAAGCACCATTTAGACTTTGCCAGCTCAGTGGAGTGAAGGAATGTCTCTTTCCTAGTTCATGCTTATCTGACTATTGGCAAATTAATCTTTGGGCATATTTATTGTGCATTTGGATTATCTTTTCTGATCATTGTTCATTTTCATTTTTTAAGTTTTATTTAATATTTTCTTCTCAGAGGATTATATTTGATAGATAACCTTACTTTTCAGATTTATCAATTTTCCATTTAATATTTTAGGATACACTGAGTATATTGTGTGTGTGTGTGTGTTTGTGTGTGTGTGTATTTATTTATTTATGGTCAATATACCTTGTATTTCTTCATAGCATTGGAGTGTTCCATCTTTGGTATGCTTCTAAAATGACAGAATCTATATAGTCTCATGGATTTTATTGCAAAATTTTAAATTAGATATCTTTATTTAAAGTCTTTGATTAACTGAAATGTATTCTTTATGTGATATAAGATATAAACACATTTTTATATTCTACCTCTGGATATCCATTTGTTCCTGTGCTGCTTGTTAATACAACTTTCTCTACAATGAGTTGAATCATAATCTTCAGAACATACTAACTGTGCCTATGTTCTCTTTTTGTGGCTTAATTATTCTGTCCATTAGTTTGTCTAATTGTCTATACCAGTGCCACATTGACTAAATTTGGTGATTTGGTAGTATGTTTTGGTATCTGGTAAGTTTTATATAACTGTTTTTCTTTGAATGATACATTTTGGAGAGGAAGGGCAATTTTGAGACATATATTCTTCCATGTGAAATTTGTAAAAATTTATGTAATTCCAGGGGGAAAACTCTTCTTTTTTTATTTTATTTGAATTAAATTTTTTATTCTGAAACACTCTGAATAAAAATAAATTTGGTCCTTAGAACAAGAGAGATAATCCAGAGATTAAAAGCCCCTCTAAAACATAAATACATGAAACAAAAGCATCTTATAAGACAGATCAGACCTCAGCTGGAGCAACTAAGTGGCAATGTGGCCTAAGGTCTGTGAATGCTTCTGAGAGGAGGCCAGCCTGTCTCTTGGGACATCTGACCTATCAACTTTTTCTCAAGATAAAAAGAAACACATGTCCTACGTGAGATGTAGAACCTGTGGTAGGAGTGACCCCATTATTAGCATATTTATAGAATCAGTACAAGAAAGGAACAGTTCTTAGAGTAGGTGATCCTCAATGCCATCTTCCCATTGGGTAAGGTTATCTGGACAACTCAGGGAAGGAAAGTTGACTCATCTGTTATCCCAGTTCAGCATAGGAATGGAGTGAATGTGGCTTGAAACTCTTTTACAGATGTGGAAGAAACAGGGAGGATGGAATTTTCCTAAGATTCAGACTGAGAAATAGGTTCAATTATAACAGTGCCTTGATTTGAAGGACCTATCTTGGAAATATCATGGATTTTTGATGGGATAGCCTAATTTTTAAAGTCTGAATGTGTTAGAAGATGTATCAGAAGCTTTAAATCTTGGAAAGTAAATTGTTAATGTATTGCAAGTGCCACCACCGCACCTTTCTAATATCCTCCTTTACTGTATTCACAGGGAAATATGTCCTTCTCGTGTTCACATCCTCAAACTGTCCCTGTGACTTTTCTGAGCTCAAGGAGTTATTTGGCTCTGCCTCACCCCACTGGAGAGAACTCAGTAGCTGTCACTTTCCAATTTCGAACGTGGAACCGAGCGGGGCTGTTGCTGAAAAGTCAGTTTCTACACTGGTCAGGGGCTCTTGTCCTTGTTCTTAGTGATGGAAAACTCAAGCTGAGCCTCTGCCCACCTGGCCAGCCAGTGAGAGCCGTCATAGCAGGTGAGACATCACAGTGCCTTTGTATAGCCATCAACATCCTTACCCATAAGCCTGAGAGTAGTCATTTTTGAATGAATAAAAAAATTGAAACAATGAGACATTCATAATCCCAGTAGAACTAACTACAGATTCTATTTTCCTTTTTAAATGGGAAACTCTACATTGCTCATGGGTGAGTCAATGTGACATAAGTCTGTTTACATGAAAGTATAGTTGTCACAGAGTTTAAAATGTGACTTTTATTATCTTAATTTGAGGGTTGGCAATCAGAGGTAAACTTGAAACACTAGAAAACATTAGCCTGATCCTAGATAGTCTTGAGAAAATGGTTGGATCTCTTTTAACGTCTTTCAAACCCACACACTCTCTGATTATCAAAATACAGACAGTCTGGGACTTAGAATAGTTTGACATAGTATTTTTCAACTTTATAATGGTGCAAAACCCATATTCATTTCATAGAAATCATGCTTTGAACTTATAATTTTGACCTCCCTTGCCATTCAGGTATATGGCAGATGCTTTCTCAGTGCTGGCAGCAGCAGCCAGCCATGTTACCTAGGGAGTCTTGTTATCACAGAGGCCAACAACCAACACTGTGCAGTGTTCTGTGAGGTCAGTGGGTTTTTTCGATATAGGCATTTGATAAATTAAATGAGATATTCAAAACTTTATTATAAAAATGGGTTTTATCTTATTTTTTTCAAGTATAAGCTAAAGTATGTTCTTAGCATGCTTAACATAGGCCAGTGTAAGTTTTATGATGTTTTGTAGGTTAATTAGGTTTGTTAAAAGAATTTTTGGCTTAAGATGGGTTTATTGGGAGGTAATTCCATAGTAATTTGAGGAGTGTCTATAATTTAAGTTATATTTTTTTCCCCTTCTGTCAGAGCAGCTACCTTGGGTAGAGGCTACATGTTTTAGAGTAAACATCCTATAACTTGTAGAGAATATCATCTTTGAACATTAGGGACCATTTTGCATATGAAAATTAATGATGGTTTAAACTCAGATGGAGCTGAGAGTATGTCACTCCATGAATGTTGAATATGGAAGGGATATTTTGCTTAGGGTCTGAAAAGCTGGGAGTGAAAATAAAATTTTTCTTTCTTTTTATAAACCAAAAATTATTGACCACCAGCATACTAAATTTCCTTGTGAGCTGAACTGAGCATTAATTCAGTTGGTGACCGGAATCCTAGTTTGTTTAGCATTACAATCTGTATGCAATAGTAGCTGGAACTGTTTATATTTTTTACATGGAGATATAGGTTACCCCCATATGTATATATGTAATACACACACACACACACACACACACACACACACTAATTGAACTTTGTTTTGTTTTTTTTTGTTAGACAGCACTATTATAGAACCCTTTTTCTTTTTTTTTCTTTTTTTTGTGTGTGAGGGGGTGTCAGAGACTATGAACCCAGGGCCTTGCACATGCCATACCACAATTTTTAAGTTAAAATTGTTACATGGAAAGACCATAAGAGTCCCCCCCATCTTATTTTGTTTTCCTAGTTCTAGGATTACGGAATTTATTTCAGAATTCTGTTTCAGAGTTAACTTCATCAAATATGTTTTAGCATCTTAGCAAAATCCTCTATCTTCTTGTTTACAGATGTTCTCACTTTCTAGAGCAGAATCTATGACTTTTGGGGTCATGTTAGAAACATGACCTACATAAGAGAATTATGAGTCCCCAAATCAAGTCACTAGTGGGAGATCAAGCAGAAGGAAAAAGCTGGTTTCTAGAGCATTTGCAGAAGTTGGATTTATGTGCTCATTTGGGCAAGGAATACTAAAATATGATAATTATATGTAAGACTGAACTTCAGCAGGAAGAAAGAACACATTTTATTTGAAGATTACATCTCCACTGGGCTACAAAATGACTTCTGATTCCTGCAGGTTGATTTTTATCCTTAAAAAGCTATGACTAGTCTGTACCTTTATAATTTATTAGATACATTAGTTAACTATGTTGGGACCTCCCTCAGGTGATAAGATTAGACTCAAGCAGGTTTAGTAGCATGCTAGAAATCAAGCATTCACTAATTTGTAACAACAACATTTAAGTGAATTAAACTAGCATCCTAGAAATCAAGCATTCACTAACTTGTTGTTTTTAAGTGAATTAAACTTTTTCTCTGGGATCTTCTTATTTCTACAAGACAATTCCTAAAGATCTCAATTAATCACTCTTCCCTTCAGGGAAATGTGCATCTGCCCCCTGAAGTAACCTCTTGTCCATTAATGTCAGGCTTGGTCAAGTGACACATTTTGGTAAATGGATTCTAAGTGGAAGTGACATTGACACATTGCAGTAGGAGCTTCAAGAGCCATAGCAAAACTCTGCCAAGTATTTTCTTCTCTAAGCCATGAAGAACTGCAGGCCATGCATTCATACTTTGGTCTTACGTGAAAAGATCACGTTCCACAGAGTGGATCCAGATCTGCTGCTTGTATCCACAGCCAGATGAACCTTAGTTTGTTAGTCACTGACACATGGGTTATTTGCTGCCACAAAATACTCTAGTGGAAGCTAATAAAAATTGCACTGGGCAATGTCCTGGGATGCTTGCTGTTCACTGATTCATCTCCCGCATGACAGTGTGAATTTTCATCATGGAGCCAGCAGGAGATAATTCCATCATGCTCAGTTGGTTGCCAGTCCATGACTCCACCACCCTCTGTTCCATCATTTTAAAGATTAGATAGTTCATTTTAGGATGCAAGAGACTGATTACTTGAGTAAGAACTAATATTTGTATTTAAAAAATAAAACTATAGTTATAGGTGAATATACTGTAGCAAATTTGGAAAAGAGAAAATGTAAAAATGGCATAAAATGAAAACATAGTTTTCTCATCCAAATATGTAGTTTTTAAGAATACTTCTGCCAGCTGCCAGATGGTGGTAGCCCAGGCCTGTATTCCCAGAAGCTTGGGAGGCAGAGGAAGGAGGATTGCAATTTCAAAGCCATCCTCAGTAACTTATCAAGGCTGTAAGCAATTTAACAAGAATCTGTCTCAAAATAAAATATTTTAAAAAAAGGGCTGGGGATGTTGCTCTGTGGTTCAGTGCCCCCAGGTTCAATCTCTGGTAACAACAAAAAAAGAATATATCTTCCAACTTTTTTTGCATGTTTATACGAAACTTAAACACATCCACATATACCACATACATTTTAATGTAATGCTTTTTTAGCTTTACATTTTATTTTTATGAATATCTGTGCCTAATTAGTGCCTAAATTAGTATTTTTGTGAATGTTTGATTTGTTTATTATACCTGAGCATATCATTTTGTTTAAATTGTCTACTAAGATTATAAAAATTAACAATACATGCATGTAAGTAACATTTTTAATTTGAAATCTTGGATAATATCTGTACTTCTCAATAGCTAAAGATATTATTTAACTAGATGAGACTAAAATATGCCCTGTGTTCTGTCAGAGGAAATGTTTTCTCATCACAGGATAGTTCAAGGTCAGTTGTGGAAAATGTATTCCACAAAAGCCCTAGAAATGGAAGAAAGTACTCCTGTCTCCTGGTGTAGAATTTAGGACTGTCTGCTCTGTGTCTTTATTCTTTTATTCTGATTTCTTTTTCTTCCCCTTCCCTCATACTTATCTGACTTAAAGAGTGGGGAGAAAGTGAAAAACAGTGCTGGCAATGGGTATATAGACCATAATATTCCCAAATGAACATAATAATTTTTGTTAGAACATAATAAGAACCAGACAAACCAGTCCATAACCGGCCAACCAGAGACAAAGTCTCCCTTGAATCCCTAACCCAACTCAACAAGCCCCTGTCCAAGTTGACATGGACAATCCCTTCCTCTTGAGCAGGCTACAGGCTCACCTAATCACCTTCTCAGGATCTCCTACTGAAGCTCAAATCATTCCTCAGCCTTTCCCTGTCTCCCTTTGAGATCCCACACAGAAAAACAACCCAGGGCACTTGAGGTGGGATGTGGTGGTCTTTGACAAGCAGACTTGCCATTGTCTGCATCTACTGTTTTCAGGCACTGGTCCTGTACTGGGGTCCCTTATAACCCACTTTGTTTACCTCTAGGTGATGGATTAAATGATGGTCAGTGGCATTCTGTGTCCTTATCTGCTAATGGGAATCATTTGAGCCTGAAGGTGGACAATGATGCATCCTCTGCTGCCCATTCCCGGCGTGGGCAGATTCATTCTGCTAATACCTATTATTTTGGGGGTAAGTAAAAGGCACAGGCTATATTAATCAAACCGTCTTTGTGTCTTCCACATTCCAAGGTGACTGGTATTGCTAAATGAAAACTGATATTTTAGAATGATTTTTCTCTTTCAGTGATAGTTGGGAATTTTGATGGACAAAGACAATAAATTGTGGCCTAAAATGCAAGTCTACTCATTGATCTTATTTAAATGTGCACTAATGTTATTGATTTTAAATAGAGCTTTCTCTTGGGAGTTGTTCTCAACTACAGCTGCACATAGCAATCTACTGGAAAGCTTCAAAAATGCTGGTGCAGGGCTGGGTCATGCCACAGTGGTAGAGCACTTGCCTAGCATGTGTGAGGCACTGGGTTCCATTCTCAGCACCACATATAAATAAATAAAATAATAGGTCCATCGACAACTTAAAAAAACCATGCTAGTGCTGAGTTAACTAATCTTGTGTCCTGAGCCACAGGTTTTTTAAATGCCCTTCAGGTGATTTTAATGTGAAGACAATGTGGAGCATCCTTGTTGTCTATTTCTAACTCTTATCACAAGGAATTTCCCTAATCCCCAAAGGCTGTTACAACCTTTTGTTTTGATTTCATTTGTCAACATTATTACTGCATAGTTGCTTTATTCTGACTGCTGGCTCCTCCTCTCCCTGGAATGTTTCTTCAGCTACACCTGAAAGCTTGCTGGAGATGCTGACTCTCTGCCCCTCACCTTCTACATAATGATCTGCATGTGACCAAGATCCCAGGTGGTCTTCAGTACTTTAGAGTTTAAGAAGCCATCTATATGGAAGGGCACTATTATGTACAATAGAGCAAGATATTGTCTATTAATTTTTCTACTCTTGTTTAGCAATGCATTTTACCAAGACAACACCAGGCTATATCCTCTGGGCTCCAGTAAATGGAGCATTTGCTTGCTGAATGGGTCTTCGATTTAGTTCATCCAGGATCCCTTCAGCCAGCAAGAGAGTGCCTCTGAGGGTAATGAATCTCTATCCCTGGGGTAGTCAAGTGAAAAATTTTTGCCACTAGATGCTTGGACCTGTCAATAGTAAGAGTTATTTCTAACCTTGGCTTAATGCCTTTCTTGATATTATTCCTATTTTGCATTTTATAGTTGTTCCTTTCTAAAATAAGGTTGAAATCATGATGGAGATAGCTTTCCAGCCCAAAAAGAAAATATAAAACCCTCTCTAAGAATTGACAATGGAAACACAAACCATGAATCCAGTTGTTTAATCTTTCAAGTTTCCTAAAGCAACCATGACTGCAAGAGGTAAAATAGTGTCAACACCTTTAAACATTGGACTGTGTACTTTTCTTGTTTGCTAAATATGGTACATTTCTGATCCTGAGAGGGTTTTACGAGATGTTTGCTATTTATGAAAGATTTTATAGCTCTGCAGAGAAACAAATTCCTTCAATACCAAAATGAGAATGTATATAAAAACTATAATTTAAAGGGTAAAAGATTCTGAAACACTAAAAGGGATAGGAAACAAAATCCTTGCTGTATTGTTTAATGATACAAAATAAAGTACACTGGAGAAAAATGCTTTCAGATCACAGAATCATCTTTCATATTTTAACACATATTCAGAATATGCAATGCACAGAGCCATGAGCATAAGTACTTTCCATAAATATTTACACACTGATGTGATAGGAATTGTTACTGGGAAATAGACCACATTCATACATTTATACAGCATTACTAATATTTCTTAAAAGCCTATAGAATGCAACATTATAGTATTTTTGAAGCTTCTCTTTCTTCCTTCAAACTCATCTCCCAGGGAGTTATTATCTTGCACTTCGTAGGTTTATCATCTATGTAAATAATTTAAAGTAGTATTTTATTTTGTGCTGGCCCACTTTTAACTTAATACATAGGGTAAGACTGTGCATTCTTCCATGACTTCCTTTTATTCTTCTTCATTACTTTCTGAGATCCAGCCATGTATATGTGAATTGGCAAACTTAATTAATTTTTACTGCTGCGTGGTTTTCAATGAATATTTTATCATAGTTTACATATCTGTCTCTTTTTACTATTGATACATGTTTTGATTGTGCCCATATTTATTATTTTTTAAAAAATTGTTAATAATTCTTGTACAGTTGCTAAGAATCATCTTACCAGTGATTTTAAAAATTTTCTTTATGTACCATATTATGGTGCTCAAATGTAGAGTTAGTTCAGTGAAGCAGAAGTGACATACTGCAGTTTAAGTGACATGTACTGGTTGTTAAGTTGCATTCATTAGAACTCACATAAGTTATGCACACAAACCCAGCTTTTGGTTCCACCAATATATTCGACGGGACCCTAGAGATCTGGAGTTAAAACAGGCCTTTCTTGTGCATTTTGATAAAATTTTATTGTTAGACACAAAAAGTTTCTTGCTAATATAGTTTCCAATGAGAAACTATTTCCCTAAGATGAGCGAAATTACAGATTATAAACATCCTAACAGGGAGGGGAGCTTGATAACTTTTCTTCATTATGACTTAACAATTTTTCTGTTATAATTGTATATTGGCACTTAGTTGCAAAAATATTTTCAGAATTTGCGATCCCAGCACTTTATTCCTAAGAAATGTATAAATATAGAGTGACCTCTTCATGCATGGCTGTAAATAACCAGCTAATTCCCACAGTACAATTTTAGACACTAATTCAGACTTAGTCCTCTATAGATATTATGCCAATGTAAATGTATCTTTTTTTCCTGAAGAAAGAATATGTAATATTTAACAAACTGAAGTACTGCTTTCATCAGGTAAAAACACACATGCAAATAAATACTCAAACATATCAGTTTGCTCATTTTTTTAGATAAAAAGGTATCTATTATTTGTACTCCCAGGAAACCCAGTAGAGAAAATGTAGGATGAATAGACATGGAGTTCTGGCTTTTAGTAGATATATTGTACTCAGAACTTTAATGCATAGGTGTTCCAGGTTTGTTCTGGGGCCACTCAGCTTCATCTTGAGAGGAACTCCACCCTGACAACCCCAGAATTAGAATTATTTTAGGCAATCACAAGAGTAGTTGGTGTCAGTGTTTCTGTTCATTTAATTCTCTTTTTAATTAGTGTCCATTGGCGCCAGAATATGTGTGACACTGAACAAGGAAATTTACTTCACCCAGTTCACACACTGTCACAACAACTGGGCTAATAAAGTGTTCCTGGATCCACTAAGTGGAAGTCAGTTAATGACATTGATTCTTCAAAGAAATCAATATCTTGTGATCTGAGACACTCTACACCAGTTCTCTTCCCCTTTATTTCCTAATGTAAGCTTAACTCCTTATTCCCAATTATGTTATAGCTATAGTCAACCAAATTTTGTGATAGTACTCCACTCTAAAAGCATATATGTGTGCCTTGCTATTATAGTTAGGGTGACAATAAATTTATTGTCCAAACCAGGACACTTTAGAGAATGAGAGGGATGATATGAGTAATTAAGAAAGGACAGCAACATAAACCAAGACCTTCTATGTTATCTGCTATATTTTGGTCTGGATGTCTCAGTATGCAGCTTTCTTCTTGTGAGAGAGATTCACCTACTCAACAGTGTTTTAGTCAACTTTGTGTTGCTGTGACTAAAAGACCTTGCCAGAATAACTTAAAGGAGGAAAAGTTTTATTCTGGCTCATGGTTTCAGAGGTTCAGTCATGGTCAACTGACTCCATACCTTTGGACCCAAGTTGAGGCAGAACCTCATAGTAGAAGGCTATGACAGAGGAAAGCAGCTCACAGTAGTCAGGAAACAGAGAGCTGTACTTACTAGGGACAAAATATAAACCCCAAAGGCATGCCCCCGGTGACCTACTTCCTCTAACCAACATCCTACCTGCCTACAGTTACCACCTAATTAGTCCATATTAGTGGATGAATCCATTAATTAGGTTGTAACTCTCTATCATTTCACTTATGAACATTCTTATATTGTCTCACACATGAGTGTTTGGGGCCACCTCATATCAAAAACATAACAAATGGCAGTATTTTTTATTTCTCACATTAGAACTCTGATTTAATCATCTTTTTCCCAGCCTAAGGATGTGTGTGTGTGTGTGTGTGTGTGTGTGTGTGTGTGTGTGTGAAGTGTTCTTCAAATAGCTATTTCACCATAGCATATTGTACTTTTGGTGCCTGCTCTTTAGGGTGACTAAAAGTTAAAATTCCCTGCTACAGGATCTTTGTACTATTAATTAACAGATTTTTTACCACAGAGTTGGGAATACTAAATTATGTTCAAAGGTGCCAAAGCCACCATATGTGAAACATGAGGGGACCACTTTGTAACAAAGTCTCACTCTGCTGACCTCTTTCTGGTACCGTGGCATAAAGTATCAGGTACTCTTGTGTTCCTCACAGGTACTTAATCATGATGATGCTCCTCAATAGTGAAAGATACATTTTATTATTTGTACAGTAAGCATCCACTTCCCTATTTACACCTTTAATTTCAAATGAGGTCCCTAATGAAGAAACCTCCATCATTTTACCTTTTGTATGGACTTGGGAGAAACCTTCTGCATGAACAAATGGAACATTCCTGGCTTTTGCTGGCTTTGAATCTCAATTTCCCTTCCTTTTCTACTTCTCTCTCTGTTGTGACTAGTGAGCCATGTACCTAGTGTCTTGACCTTCTTCTTCTTTAAAATTCTACATTAAGAAATGTTTATTGTAATTATTGGACTTGGTTTAATTTTATTCCTAAAAGAAAAATATACCACATTTTATTTTGGAATAAATTTTGATCTAGATAAAAGGGAAATTAGCAGAAAAGAAATACTAGTGATTCTTTTTTATTAATTTGATTTGTTACATATGTCAACATAATACATTATAATTCATATTACACATATAAAGCACAATTTTTCATATCTCTTGTTGTACACAAAGTAGAGTCACATTCTTCTTGTCTTCTTACATGTACTTAGGGTAACAATGACCATCACATTCCACCATCTTTCTTACC